ATTACTTACAGGGAGCCTCCTATACTATATATTTTTTTTAAAGATTTATTTATTTATGCATACATGAGCTGGGGTACAGGCCAGAGGTGCAGGGGGTGAGAAGATTCACCAGAGACAGAGTGGGGAACAGAACAGGTAGATTGACTGAAGTACACTGCTTGAGGAGAGCAGTGGGCAAATCAGGAGAGGTCTGCTGCGCCACATGGGTTGCTCCCTGGCAGGCCAGGGATCGAACTCCTGCTGCAGAGGTTGTGGACAGCTTCACAGGTTGTGTCTTAACCCCTTGAGTCACCAGGGAGGCCCTCCTATACTACTTTAAACAAGTGTTGTAAACAATAATGAGACATATACACACACTGGACTCTATTACAGCCTTAGCTTATGACCCACACTAAGTACTTCCCATTTCTTTTCCCACCATATCTGGTAAGACTAATTAAAAAGCAGAGCTAATAATTCATAAACACATAGCAGGAACACTGGAATAACTCTACCTTTTAATTAACTAACCAGAGCCCCCAAAACAACTTTCCAACATATTTAAACTTCAAGGATAGCAATAGTTCTGGGGAAAAAAAAAAAAAAAAGTGATGAAATTTAAACTTACAAATCAAAGAAACAAGGGTTTGCAATTCAAGTGTACTGTCAAACTTAAGTGAATTTAATTTTTCTGGAAAACAAAACAGACCTCATCCACAAAAATAGATCTATTGCTCAGAAAAATGTACTAAAATCTGTTTACACTGGAGATTCTCTAGCCCCAGGTCTGGTTAATTTAAGGCAAAATCGTTTTTTCATTGAGGTGGACGGTAAAGTTAATGAACATGTTAAAAATCAACTCCTTTAAGAAAGACAGCTTTCGATGCTGTTTCCTTGTGTATTTTCTGTGCTAATCTTTTAAACTACTAAGTTCTTTGGTAGCAAGAATGTTTTATGGTCATTTAGATAGTCATAGCCCTAACACTCTCAAACTGGCACTCTAGTATGACCACTAGGCTTTCTTAAAAGAATGAGCTGTTTTGTCTAGAAAAACAAACAAACCCACAATTTGACTAACAGACCAACTAGAGGCTGACTTATTTGCTTTAGTAAATGAAATAACTATTTACTCCTTTAAATATTTGCCTAGTATATTTGAAATCATATATAAGAATTCATTTTGGGCCTCCCCAGTGGCGCAGCGGTTGAGCGCTGGGTTGCGAAGCTGCCCGCGGCCTCCGCGGCGCCGGTTCGATCCCCGGCTGCTCCCCGGCCACCAGAGGAGGGTCCCGCATGGTGCGCAGACCTCTCCTGCCGCCCGCTGCTCCCCTCAGCAGTGTACTTCGGTCCTTCTGCCTGCTCTGCTCCCTGCTCTGGCTCTGGTGAGTTCTCTCACCCTCCTGCGCTTCTGACTGTACCCAGTGCATGTATAAACAAAAACAAAACAAACAAACAAATAAAAATAAAACATGCCTCTATAAAAAAAAAAAAATTTAAAAAAAAAAAGAATTCATTTTATATAGTATTAGTAATATTTTACCTCCCAGATTAAGATATACATATGGACAAAAGTTCCACTCCTCTTACTGAACTGAAAACTCCTTTTTATGGGGCCTCCCGGGTGGCGCTGTGAGGCTGTCCACAGCCTCTGCAGAGCGAGTTCGATTCCCTCAGCAGTGTCCTCTGTCCACCTGCCTGTTCCGCTCCCCGCTCTCGCTGGTGAATCCTCTCACCCTCCCGTGCCTCTGACCTGTACCCCAGTTCTTGTTTAAATAAATAAAAATTTTTTTTTAAAAAGAAAACTACTTTTCAAGTTGGATAATAGACAGTTTTATTCTGAGAAGACTTCAGTGAGAAACAAAGATCAGAGTCTGATTTATTAGTGACATTTGCAGCTAGGTCTCAGTGCCTTAAATTCCAATCAATGGCAACTAAAATCAGTTATGAGTTAGCATATTATCTTTGCACCATGGAAACTGTCCCTTCCTGGTGACACAGGGGTTAAAGTCTCAGTGCTATCAAGCTATCACAGCCACTGCAGCACCAGCTGGATCCCCAACCAGGGAACTAACCCACAAGGTGCAACAGACCTCTCCTGTCTCTCCAGCTGTTCCCCTCAGCAGTATATTTCAGTAGATCCACCTCTTCTGCTCCCCATTCTGTCTCTGGTGAATCCTCTCATCCCCTCTACCCTCATCTCTGGCCTAGACCCCAGTTCTTGCACGCATAAATAAATAAAATAAATCTTAAAAAAATTGTCCATCTATTTGAAAAACAATAAATACACACCAGCAGTTATAGTTTTCTACTTTTTTAGTTGCAATCCTTTAAGTTTTTGTGCTCTCAACAACTTTTCATGGTTAAAGACAGCAATCATAAGTGTTAAGCATAATGAGAAACAGATTACTTGTGTTTGCATACAGGTCCATCATCCTACTAGTTGAATGAGTGTTTCTGGACCTATTTTCTTCAATCACAAAATGAGAATAAAACAGTATCTACCTCATTGGAAAAAATTAATAAAAGCACTTCCACAGTTCATCCCTGGCACATTAGAGTTTACTGCTATAAAGTGCATACAATTTAACCATAAAACAAAGATCTGCACTTAAGATTCAGATCGTTTTCTTCTTTAACTATTTAAATATAAATTACAAGCAGAAAAATGAGTCAGATTTCTATCATTCCAAACCTATGAAAACGTGCCTTTCTCAGTCACTTTTAAATTACTTATAAAAAATTAGTAACTTGAATTCATTGAAGGTAAAGATACCTAAGATTTCCCGAATTTCCAGAAAGTCTGACCACCAAGTATACCAGTCCAGTAGCCAACAGCAAAACACAGAGCTACTTATTTGTAACTTCTATAAAGTATTTTAAATGCTTTTGCTGTAAAACCACCGAAGTAATTTAAGAATAACCAAAAAATCCGCTGGGAATTGACAAAATCTGTGCCAAAAAACTTCAGGAAGATAAATTAAAATTGATTTCGTTGAGAAGATGGCAATTTACTATAAATTCCAAAATTCTCATTCACAATGAGCATTTTCTTATTTTATCTTTTAGACAGACTGTAACCTGAAAATCAAGCACCTTCGAAACACTGAAGTAACTGTTTTTTGTTCCCATTCTACACCTTTTTTCTTTTCAGTGAAACTTTTGATCTAATGGTTAAAAAAAGTAAAACTAAAAGACAGCTTTTGTTTGAATGGGCACAACAATTAGGCACTCCACAACTAAAGTTTTTCATTTATCTACTTGGATTCTTTTAATAAATGCCCTAAACTTAATAGCATTCTTCTTGCCTTTCAAGTCTTAGACGTAAAATAAAAGATCTTAGAAAAGTCAGCAACCCACCAAATTACAACTCTAAGTCTATGGAAGACTACCAATCACTTTTAGATGTGATTTAAACAGGAACTAGAATTCTAGCAGTAAACTAAAACATGAACCACCATTAACTCTTTTTTTTCCCTCTTAAGCAATGACTATCGAAGTTAAAAGCAAGTATCTCAATAAATACGACAAACTAAAAAGAGCTGACTGCTAAAGCTAACACCACAGCACAATTTCAAAAAAAAAATTTTCAAGCAAGTAACAAAAAGAAAAAAAAAAAAAAAAACAACCGCACCCATCCTTCACAGTAAACTTTTGGAGTAAGCAAACTTTAGTCGTCCACCTTTGTTTTCACCTAGCAAGGAGTCTTCAAGATAAGACTGCAGTTGCAAGAAAACCAAAAGATCAAAAGATTCAGTTTCAGGACAAACAACAAAAATCCAAGCTACGTTAACGTATTTAAGTTACCGAAGCGCCGGGCACTTCCCCAAGTTACAGCCATTTTAGATTCAGCCTTTCTTTAGAATTTCACAGCAGGAGAAGTCGACTTAAATTAGAAAAATACTCGTTAAAACACTTCAAGATCGATGAGCTTTTTTTCGAGGACGGGAGGGGTCGGTAGGTGCTGGGTATACTTAATCTAAATAAATGAAAACACCTTGCAACCAAGGAGACCCTAAACGTTGGGGGGTTAAAGCTCCTCTTTTCCCCCAGATACCCCACGTTTGACTTACACTGTTTTTCCCTTTTTAGATTTTCCTTCACTGGAAAGCAAAAGCCTTTAGCTCTAATTTAAGCAGGAAAGAAAAAGAAGCCCGAAAATCCAGCCACCAACGAGCCGGAACTCCTGGAGAGGAGCCAGAGAGCCTCAGGTGAGCGTTCCGACCCGGAGACCAAAGTTGAAGTAGGAGCGCTCAGGCAGAGTGGCGGCGACGCTCGTGTGCAAAGCTCTAGGCGCGGGGGAGGTGTCGCGTCCGAGGCCCGAGGCCCTTGGGCTCCACTCCCTATCCCCCAACCGACCGACACCCAACCACCTGTGCGAGAGCCTCCTTCAACTTGTTTCAACTGACGTGCGGTCAGACACCGGGCGGAGCCCGGGCCCCCCCCGGACGAATTAAGAGCCTCTGCTGCTCCCCGTCCGAAACTCTCACTCCCCACTCACCGGGCAGCCGCGGGGTTACAGCTACAGATCAGACGGGGGGTCCGAGGGCGCGTTCCCCGCTTCCTGATCCCGCAGAGGTAGAGAGCCCACAACCATAACAAAGCTCTTCCCAAAATGGCTGCCCGGCCCACAAGGCCCTCACCGCCCAGGAGCGGCAGAGCGGGCGGAGGGGGAGGAGCGACCACACGCTCGGCCCGCCCCCTCACCCACCCCGCCTCACACACGCCCACCCGCTCGCGCCGCCCAGAGAAGCGCGCGCGCGCGCAGAAGCCCGGGTTTGGGTGACCCGGAGCCCCGAGCCGCCAACGTTCGGCGCGGGGAAGAGCGGTTATTCCCTGCCCCGCCCCCAGCGCCCATCACCGCGGTTCCAGGCGGCGCGTGGTCGCTCCCGCCCCTCTGCAGGGCTGAATACGCGGCCCTGCGGGGCCTGCCTCAGAATCGGAGACCGGCCGTGTTTGGTGATCCCCTTAGTAGTCCCCGGCACCACAAGAAAGGCCTGGGGGCGTGTGAATGAGTGGGTGGATGTGTTGTGTGTACCCGTTTTTCCCCGCCCCTTCCTTCTTCACCTTCCCACAGCCCACCTCTGCCAGCACGCGTCCCCACACTAGCGAACCGGTTCCGTAAGAGCTTGTGTTCCGACCCGTTCCCACCTTCCGCTCCTGCCTTCCCTCACGTGCGCGAGTCAATACTCCAGCCCCCAGAGGCCCAGGCTCCGAGGCCTGCGCGCTGGGCCCGCGCTACCCGCTGGGAACGGTAGTTCAGCCCCACAGCTGGCGTCACGCCCCCGGCCTGGCGCCGGATTTCTGCCCCGAACCGGTTCCTAAGCCTAGCGAAGCTGTTACTCCGACCCAAAGCCTCATTGGGTGTTGCTGGACGGGAAGGGGCGGCGCCGCCGGGACAGAAAAGGAAATAAAAGTGAAAGCCACAGCGGCTAAGCGCAGTTGCCATTACCAGAAATCCGCGGAGAGCCCAACGTATGGAAAGCTAAACCACACACTGTCCGGCAGCCGAAACTATGTAGAATCCCGAGGAACGGAGAAACTGGCTGGGGCGGACTCCATAAACTCTCGCAACTTGCCTTCAAAAGGACGCTCCTATTACCTAATGGTGTTTCCTTTGATAGGCCGTGAGTGGAGGCCTGGATCAGGGAAGGGACTTTCCCAAGGTCACATAACCGACAAATAAAATTCAAAGCGCAGGGTCACCCCCCCCCCCCAAGTCCAAGATTCTTAGTAGCATACCTTTCAAAGAAGTGGAAATCCTACCCTTCGTGCCTTTTATTTCCAGGTGAAGTTTCCGGGTCCCAAGAAAGAATGGAAGCAGAAATAGCTATGAAATATTGGTAGTTCAGGAACCCAGTGCGGAGTGAGATGGGCCCCGTCGGTTCAAGAAACCCTATTGTTTTGCAAACTAAGAGTGAGTTCCAGAGATGGCAAGCGATTGCATTTAGCCAATTCAAGTTGACCTATATTCCAAATCTCTCCTACCTTTACTCAGAGATTGTTTCAGTAGTGAGTTGGCCCTTCACTTTCCCGAACTCTGCGAGGTAGATTCTGCTGGCCAGGAACTCTAGGATAGAAAGGCACGGAGCGTTAAGAAACCCTACAGATTTTAACAGCGGCTTCCACTAGAATTAAGATATTAGAAGATTTGCCCGACTGAAAGCCAGATGTGGGAACCAGTTAGCTCTGGTCAAGTCCCCACCCGGACTCTTTTTTTTCTGGTTCTCAGGAAGCGGGAGCTTCTACTCGCACTTGCCGGAAGTGCCTTTGCCTTGGTACCTGCGTGTTCCTGAAGCGCTGCTGCCTCGTGGTGCGACGCTGGCAGGTAAGCACTATGATCGCCGCTACAGTGCGGGTTGGAAAAAGGATCACCAATGATTGGGAGTAAATAGAAGCTGCAGGTACTGTCGGCCAGTTTTCCGGGGATCTTTGCGTTCAAACTCCACATTCCCTTATCTCATAACCGTTCTGAGGATTGCAGTTTGTATCTTATTTCCTTTGGGACTGTGGGAATATTGAGCTCACCTAAATCAAGTGGATTAACCAACCCTTGGTCTTTGCCCTTAATTCCCTGCCTAGCTGCCGCACCCAAGCTTTATAGTTTTTCGTTGTTGTTTTTTTTTAAAAAAAGATTTGTTTTTTTATGCCTAGAGGAGCGAGGGAGGAGGAGGATGGTGTCTGTGAGAGGATTCACCAGAGATAGAGTGAGAAGCAGAACAGGAGGATTGACTGAAATACACTGCTGAGGGAAACGGGGCGGGACCGGAACCATGTTGGTTAGCACTGGCCGGGGATCCAACTGGTGGTTCAGTGACTGCGGATGGCTTCATAGGTTGAATCTTAACCCCTTGCGCCACCAGGGAGGCCCTGCGCTTTTCATTTTAACATACTTAGAAAAGCACATGTCACAGTGCATAGAAGTTGCAAAGGTGGAGGCACTGACGATATTTTTTAAGCGGGGTGATCTGGAACACCTTTAACGCACTGGTTTTGATCAAAGGCGAGTGTGTGCGCCCTGCTTATATTTGTATCTTAAAGTCATTAGGTGGATGTGGGTGTATCTAAGTTTTTTTTAAAATATTTATTTATTTATGCATGCAAGAACTGTGGTACAGGCCAGAGGTGTGGGGGGTGAGAGGATTCACCAAAGACAGAGCGGGCAACAGAACAGGCAGATTGACTGAAATACACTGCTGAGGGGAGCAGCGGCTGAGACAGGAGAGGTCTGCTGTGCCATGTGGGTAGCTTCCTGCCCGCCAGAGGATCGAACTCGTGTTGCAGAGCCTGTGGATAGCTTTATAGTGCTGTTCTTACCCCCGTGTGCCACCAGGGAGGCCGGGGTGTTATCTAAGTTCTACTGGGGACCCAGGGTAACTTCTTGCTTCTTTATGTATAGAATTAAGACAGTGAGGAGGCCTCCCAGGTGGCGCAAGGGGTTAACTCTTAGCATTATAAAGCGCTAGGCAGCCACTGCAGCACTAGCCACTGTAGCAGGAGTTCCATCCCTAGCCAGAGAGCTAACTGACATGGTGCAGCAGTCCTTTCCTGTTTCGCCTGCTGCTCCCCTCAACAGTGTATTTCAATCAGTCCACCTGTTCCGCTCCCCACTCTGTCTTTGATGAATCCTCTCACACACACCCCACCTCTGGCCTACACCCCACACCTCTGGCCTACACCCCAGCTCTTGTATGCATAAATAAATAAAATAAATCTTAAAAAAAATAATTAAGACAGTGACTGGTATATAGGATTTCTTAATCTGTGATCAAGAAGTAAGTTCAGGGCCTCCCTGGTGGCGCAAGGGATTAAAGCACAGCACTGTGAAGCTATCTGCAGCCTCTGCAACACTGAGTTTGATCCTGGGCCAGCCAGGGAGCTACCCACATGGCACAGCAGATCTCTCCTGTTTCGCCTGCTGCTCTCCTCAGCAGTGTATTTCAGTCAGTCTGCCTGTTCTGCTCCCCACTCTGTCTCTGGTGTACGCTCTTACCTCTCACACCTCTGGCCTGTACCCCAGTTCTTATATACATAAATAAGTAAATATTTAAAAAAAAAAAAGTTCAATAATTTTTAATTAAGCAGCATTTGTGGACTTAGAATTTTGTAGACTAGGAATGGGACTCATCTAAGACAAATCTGGATTAATATTCTCACTCATCCATGTATTGGCAACTTCTATTTGACCGGACTCTTAAACATTTCCTTTTGTATAAAGTGGGAATAACAGTTAATATTTTTGAATGCTTGCTTTGTGTTAAGGATAGTTCCCAGAACTTTACATGTATTAACTCATTTAATTTTTACAATGGCCCTATAAAGAAAGGGGGAAGTGGTAGGCCTGAATTCCAACCCAGATTCTTTGAATCCAAAGTTATGTTGAATATTAAATTAGTTAATGAATCTGAAACATAGTTAATTTATGGTGCCTGGTTCACAGCTAAATTGTATTGATTGCTCCTGTCATTATTTTTGCTCAAAAAAAAAAAAAATATGGGGGGGGAAATGAACAGAGAAGCTGTAACCTTCAGTTTTATTTATTTATTTTTTTTAATTTTTATTTATTTATGCATACAAGAGCTGGGGTATAGGCCAGAGATGCCGGGCTGGGGGGAGGTGTGTGTGAGAGGATTCACCAGAGACAAAGCGGGGAGCAGAACAGGCAGACGCACCAAAATATACTGCTGAGGGGAGCCGCGGGTGAGAAAGGAGAGGTCTTTGCCATGTGTGTTGCTCCCTGGCTGGCCGGGGATCGAACTCATGCTGCAGAGGCTATGGACTGCTTCATAGTGCGGTGCTCAGCCCTTGCACCACCAGTGAAGCCCTGTAACCTTCTGTTTTAGAGATGAGAAAACAGGCACTTCAAGATTTCTCAAGGTCACACAACTAGAAAATGATAGGGGTGTTTGTAAAATACATTCTTCTGTCTGCACTATTCTTTCTGTTACATCAGATAGCAAAAGCTAGAAGAAATGTTCAGGGAATAGCATCTATTTGTTTAACCTGTTACTTATTTTTTAAAAAATTAACAATTGTTTTCAAAGGAAGTTATATAGAAGAAATTCTTAGGGATTACTACTTTTGAAAATTATGTACAAAGATGAAGAAAATTCAGTGACATTTTGTCTTGTACACAGCAACATGTTTCTGATTCAGACCCTCCACTTACTGTAAAAATACATTACTCAGAACTGCCTGGGATCAAGACTTTCAATAAGGCACAATATGCTTCATTTCTTCCAGAAGTTTTCTCGAGCATCTTCAAAGGTTGGTTTATTTCAGCAAATATTTAAATATACTGTTTGCCAGGCACTGCTTGGCTAGGACAATAGCAGTGAAAAAGAAAATAAAAATCCTTATCTTCATGTATTCAGGGTGAGAGGGGAAGGAGGGGATAAAATACAAATATGTAAAATATTTAATATGTCAAGTTGTAAGTGCAATGAAGAACTATAAAGCAAGGATGTGAAATAGGGAATGTCAACAATAGAACTGCCTTGTCAGAAGTAAAGTCCATACAGGTTTGCTCAAGCAAGAACATTCTAGACAAAAGGCCGCAAGATAGAATCATTCTTAAAATTCTAAGGAATCACAGTAACAAACTTGTTTTTCTCTATTACCTAACTTTTTTTGCTTATTGATATGTTTATTAGTTGAACTCTGGCATCTGCTTACTAAAGCACAGAATCAACAGGAAAGGTTATGACTTTGGCCATATACCACAAAAGACACTGGGGGATTTTTCTTAAAGGCAAAGAGAAAATTATGGTCCTGGTTCTTAAGTTTACTGAGACAAGTAAACATGATTTTAATTCACTATATGCAGAATTGTGATGGAAGTGTACATAGCATACTTAACTGTTGGAGCGTTGAATCAGATTACAGAGGTCAAGGGAAGCCTGAAGCTGAATTTTGAAAGATGTTATAGAATTTTTCCAGATACAAAAGTAAAAAGCTAGAATTTCATAGAGACAAGTAGAAGGCATGTAGTAAAGTATGCAGTATTTATAAAGCTAAATTGACAGGTAGATTGCTTTTCTCTACGTAAGTTAGCATGCCACAATAATTAGTGCTGCTTATTTTGCAATTTATAAATAGAAGAGGCAGTTTGGAAAACCAAATACTCAACACCTAATCTTTACCTGTTTCACTTCCATATACTTCTCTCATGGGATAAGATTAGTGGTAGGCTGAAACACATCACTGATTTAATTCAGTAGTTTCTTTTGCATGTTGTATAGCTGTTTAATAGTATGTATAGCCAACAAAAACATCACCCTGCAGTTGATCCTTTCTGTAACAGAAAGGAGATGTTTGTTTTCATATTGTTTCAGATTAGAATTAACTAAGAAATTTGGTGATGTATATGTTTTCTAATGTTTTTGTCTTCTGGTTCTACTTTCTCTACAGATGCTGAAGTCCCCTTTTACAGTTGGACTAGCACTCAGCAAAAGAAGAAATACACTTTCTCTTAAGACATGTCCTCAGCAGAACTTTCCCCCTTTGTTTCCAACATCTTGGCTTTTCTCATCATTTCCAGTGTGTATGAGCAGGACACAGTACTATCATACTTCCCCATGCAGCTTTAAGAAGAAGCAAGCAGTCCTTCCAGCCAGGCCACCAAAAACCATCACTTACCTTCCTGACAGCCCAAAGCCAGCATTATATATAACTCTTGCAGGACTATTCCCTTTTGTTGCTCCTCCACTAGTCATGGTAATGACAAAGACCTATATCCCCGTTTTAGCTTTTACTCAGATGGCTTATGGAGCCAGTTTCCTATCTTTCTTGGGAGGAATCAGATGGGGTTTTGCTCTGCCAGAAGGTAGTCCAGCCAAACTAGACTTCCTTAATTTAGCTAATAGTGTAGCTCCTCTTTTGTTTTCATGGTTTGCCTTCCTTATTGCTGAAAGACTCAGTGAAGCTATTATGACAGTAATAATAGGTTTGGGGATAGCATTACATATTGAACTTTTTATCTTACCACATTATCCCAACTGGTTCAAAGCCTTGAGGATAGTAGTCACTTTAGTGGCCTTTTTTTCATTTATAGTCACTTTAATAGTTAAAGATATTTATCCAGAGAAAGGACCCCAAAGACCTCATCAAATCAAATAAATATAGGGACTTCCTATATTTAAGGGTTAAGACACAACCTATGAAGATATGCGCAGCCATTGCAGCACAAGTTTGATTCCCGGCCAGCCAGGGAGCAACCCACATGGGCGCAGCAGACCTCTCCTGACCCACCCACTGCTCCCCTTACCAGTGTACTTTGGTCAGTCTGCCTGTTCTGCTCCCCACTCTGTCTCTGGTGAATCCTCTCACCCACTACCCCCCACGCCTCTGGCCTATATCTAGGTTCTTGTATGCATAAATAAATCTTAAAAAATCAAATAAATATAAAAAACTAATCTGTAAAATGATAGTAGTATGTCGACTACAAGCTTTATAAGGTTGTGTTTTCACATCACCTTTTGGTTATGTTTTTCTGTTTCTCCCATTTGGCTCTTTTTTTCCTACCCTCAGTAATTTTACTCTTCACAGACTTTTCATTTCTAGAAAGCTTTATTTCATAGGAATTAATTGAGCAATAACTTGAAAATCCCTGGCTCCTTTCTCATGTCATATTTATGTTACAATTATCTTTAAACATCTCAGTGTTTTAACTTGTCTTGAGAAATTTAAAAATAAAGAAAATTTAAAAATCCCTTTTGCTAAAGCCTTATCATTGTGGGGGAAAAAATCAGTGAGGAAGTTATTCTAATGAAACATTAAGAGACAAATATGCATATAGGGAGAATGCCAAGTGAATGCCATGAGTATTTGAAAATAACAGGTAGTTCCAGTGTGGAGTTTTCATTTAGTTGCTCCTCGGAAATGCACTTCTACGCTCATTTTACCCGTATAGCCTAGTTACATGAGCTGAAAGGATCTCTAAAGTCAGTAGTGTCATATGGGAAAGTCATGTTCAAAGAAAAACTGGACACGTTTTCCAATTTTTATAAGGATGTTTGGCCTAGGCATAACAGCTCATCATCTTAAAGTGTAATACCAGGTGGTCAGGAAATATTTAAAAGGGCCTCCCTGATGGAGCAAGGAGTTAAGCACGGCACTGTGAAGCTATCTGCAGCCTCTGTAGCACAAGTTGCATCCCCAACCGGGGAGCTACCCACATAGCACAGCAGACCTCTCCTGTCTCACCTGCTGCTCCCCTCAGCAGTGGATTTCAGTAGATCTGCCTCTTCTGCTCCCCACTCTGGTGAATCCTCTCACACCTGCACCTCTGGCCTATGCCCCAGTTCTTGTATGCATAAGTAAATAAATCCTTTTTAAAAAAGAATTTTAAAAATATTTAAGTAATAAAGCTATCATATAATTAAATTTATAGAGGAAAAGTTATCTGGAGCTATCTTGTTCTAAGTTACAGGGCTGTCTAGTTCAACATGTTAACTAACAACCCTTTTTTTTTTTTTTTTTGAACTTGACAAATTTATTGGTATTTTAGTAAAGACATTCATCTCAGTCGTTTTTCTCTCCCATCTTGACCTTAGGTTAATATCTCATTTGAGTCAAGAAAATAGTATGTAGGAGAGGGATGTTACCTTAACATAAACATTAAAATGGACAAAAATGGAAGTTTGCCTACATCAAAGCAAGTTAAATTCATGTATCCTGATATTTAAACCATGTAAGAAAGAACTAATAGTTCTATATACATTTCCATTGTTTTACTTGGGGCTTACTCTAAACTTAAATGCGAGTGAACAAAGTGTTAGGAATATATACAGGCTGCTTTTCTGGAGTTATTAAAAGAGCTCAGCAGTAGTTACCACCATAAAACAGTCTGAATTGCCTGCAAATTTAATATTGTAGTTTTCAAGGAAATCATTTTGTTTCCTTTACCTGTGACTATACTTTTAAAAATGTGTATAGCTTTCACATTAAAAAAAATAATTCATACACAATACAAAAAAACCACCTTACAACATAGATCTAATAAAGTATATGTGGTCAAAAGTTCCATAAGATGTTTGAAGATGCATTTTCTTTCTTTCCATTTTACCTAAAATGTGCTTTTGAGAGGTCATTGGTCAATATGTATTCACCTAAAACAGACATATTATTGGACTAAGTAAGAAATCCTGTAGTAAGTTTAACTCAAAGTATGTTTCATAAATTAGTGATCTAAATGCTTTGACAAAGTTACAGAAAGTGCATCTTCTTGATTTCCATCTTCATACAATGTTGACTTTTTTTTTTTTTTTGGTGTTTATACCTTTTAAAAAATAAAAACAGCCAAATATTTAAGTATTATGTACATTTAAATTTTTGGTGGTGGTTTGTATTTTAAAAGAAACAGCTTCCATATGATTTGCCTCAAATTCTGGTGGAAATGCTTACAGGAACTAGCTAGTAACAAAAATCAAGAGAAACGTATTCAAAATACTAAATTACTTTGGTAGCAATTGGTTGTTCTTTGAAGACTAAAGAAGGTAGACAAGACCCATTGAGGTGAAATGGGCTCTTTCAAATACTCAACAGTTAACAAAAAATAAAAAAAATTTTAAGAGTTAAGCATCTTTATCCACAGATAGCAATGCAATACCTAGTTTATGATGACTTGAAACAAAACAAATGCCCATTAAGAAAAAAAAAGTTGTATTTAATTTTATCTAATTTACTGTCAGTCAATAGTCCAGTAACATTTTCCTCCCAATGCAATACTCTCTCTCTATAAGGCTGTTCCAGGGAGCCAGTTTAGCTAATAAGGGAGTTAAAGAGAGTAATTGCTTGCAGTTTAAATAGGCAATAACTTGTTGCTTCCTTCTCAATGTGCTAATAGTTGTGTCTAAAAAAAAAATATGCAATTCAGGGCCTCCCCAGTGGCGCAGCGGTTGAGCACTGGGTTGCAAAGCTGCCCGCAGCCTCTGCAGCTCCAGTTCGATCCCCGGTTGCTCCCCTGCCACCGGAGGAGGGCCCCACATGGCGCGCAGACCTCTCCTGCCGCCCACTGCTCTCCTCAGCAGTGTACTTCGGTCTTTCTGCCTGCTCTGCTCCCCACTCTGGCTCTGGTGAATTCTCTCACCCTCCCGCGCTTCTGACTGTACCCAGTGCATGTATAAACAAAACAAACAAACAAACAAATAAATAAAACATGCCTCTATAAAAAAAAAAGAAAAAGAAAAATTAAATAAATAAATAAATAAATATGCAATTCTTAAAAAGGTACCATATCTGATTATCTGTAACCTTTGGAAACTATCACAAGAAACTACAAAATTAGTAAATGTCTTGAAATCTGCATATAAAACATAAATTACCTCTAATTTCAAATTCTCATTTATTAGTGTACCACTCAATCTTTAAAAAAAAAAAAAAGGTGGCTCCAAAGATAAGTCTTATAACCATTCTTTTAAAAAGGAAACTGTTCCTTCTAACTTTACACCCACCCCACACCCCAATTTCAAAACACATCATTTAAGTGTCTTGGTCATGGACATTTCCAAGATCAGACTTTATATTTCGCTCCCATAGCTTCTGGTTATCAGAAAAGCCATGCTTTCCTTTATTGAAGGAGTTTGGTCCAGCTGAAGTTGGCGAATCCCTTCCAATATTCTTCATCCTCATCTTTGCTTCTGGAGGTATTTCCTCAGGTTCACTATCTTCATCTTCATTAAAAGCTGCTGCTACTGAAAGGGTTTTTGGAGCAAGAGTTGGAATCGTTTCTTTTTTTTTTTTTTTTTTTTTTTTTTTTTTTTTATAAATCTTTTTTTTCCATGTATTTATTTATTTGTTTGTTTATACAAGCACTGGGTACAGTCAGAAGCGCGGGAGGGTGAGAGAATTCACCAGAGCCAGAGCAGGGAGCAGAGCAGGCAGAAGGACCGAAGTACACTGCTGAGGGGAGCAGCGGGCGGCAGGAGAGGTCTGCGCGCCATGTGGGACCCTCCTCCTGTGGCCGGGGAGCAGCCGGGGATCGAACTGGCGCTGCAGAGGCCGTGGGGAGCTTCGCAACCCAGCGCTCAACCGCTGCGCCACCGGGGAGGCCCGGAATCGTTTCTTTAGGCTTACTTTATCCAAGTTTGATGGATATGGCTGAGGCTTTCTTTGTCATCTGATTACCTATGGCAAATCCAAACTTGGAGATCTTTGAAGGCTTTGTTGGGAGGTCTGCAGCTTCTTCTTCAGCTGATCGCTTCTCAGCACTGCGACTGGAACTTTCCCCTCCATTACTGGAAGAAACAGTCTTAGTTTTCACAGGTTTTTCTGCTTCTTCTTCAGGTCCTCCGGCGGCTTCAGTTCCAAAATATTTGACAATTCAGTGCTTCTCAGCCTTCTCCTCTCCCGCCTTCCCGTCCGCCATTTTCCCCGCCATGGCCTCCTAACAACCCTTTTTGAAATAGTAAAAGCAACATCTAGGTTCTAACTTGAAAACCTAGTCTCTTAAGATTCTTAGTCTCAGAAGAAAGGGAAAATGATATAGGAAATATAAATCAGGAAATAGTATCACCTAGTATATTAACTTTGTAGAAGTATTCAAGTATTTGTTAAATTTCATAAGTACATGCATAATGATATCCACTCATTCTTGGTGTGAATAGATTTATCAAAGACCACTTATTTACTTGAGTTACAAGGTCATACTGGTGGACTGTTAGGTAATACCTTCTGTGTTCTTCTAATGAAACATTAAGAGACAAATATGCATATAGGGAGAATGCCAAGTGAATATGAAGATGGTAATCTACATGCCAAGAAGAAAAACCTGGAATAGATCCCTTCATCATAATTCTTAGAACCAGCTCTACTAACACCTTCATTTTAGACTTGCAGACACCAAAACCATGAGACAATAAATTGTGTTGTTTAAATTTCTGTGGTACAGTAATCCTAGCAAACTAATACAGTATCATAGAGCTAGACCAGTTCTGATCATTGAGAAGCTTACCAATTAGAGTCAAGGCTGAAACTATCACAGGATCCTTGTTACATAAAGAAAAATTTACTATACAGCCTGATCTGGAAGGAAAGAAAGCTTATACTCTTCAGATCGTTCTCAGATTTTACTTCAGTGTTTTGGTGGGGGGAAATTACTTCTCCTAAGTTGCATGAGTACTACAGAAACTCAAAACTTCTCTGATCTCAAATTCAGTATCTTTAGAATAGGAGCAAGTAACACTTTAAGGCTCTTCCCCTATTTCACTACACAAATACAGGTAAACGCATTTTGCAGGTGAATTAAAGTATATGATTCTTTAAGATAATGGATTTTTAAGTACATTGGACAGGATATTTAGAAGCACTGAATTGTCAAATATTTTGGAGGTAGGTCATATTAACAGTTGCTCAGAAAACATTATATATAAGACTAAATGTTTAAGTCCGTGGAGTTCAAACATTAAAAAAAAAAAATGGGGGTCTCCCCTGGTGGCACAGGCTGTTGAGCGCAGCACTGTTAGGCCATTCGCAGCCTCTGCAGCGCCAGTTCGATTCCAGCCGGCTGACAAGGGTCCCTCATGGCGTGGCAGACCTCTCCTATCTCGCCCGCTGTTCCCCTCAGCAGTGTATTTTGTCAGTCTGCCTGTTCTGTTTCCTGCTGTTTCTGGTGAATTCTCTCACCCTCCCGCGAATCTGGCCTGTAACCCAGTTCTTGTATAAACAGATGAATAAATCTTTTTTTAAAAAATGGGGCAATTCTACTACAGTTTGGTAATCTAGGAAAGCTGCTACTTAATAAGTATCACAAGCAGAAGCAAAAATCAAGATACTTTATTAGTATATTCCTTTTTAAAAAAAAGATTTTATTTATTTATTTATACAAGAACTGGGTTACAGGCCAGAGGATGGGAGGATGAGAGAATTCACCAGAGTCAGAGCGGGGAGTAGAACAGGCATATCTACTGAGATACACTGCTGAGGGGAGCAGTGGGAGAGACAGGAGAGGTCTGCCGTGCCATGTGGGAATCTCCCTGGCTGGCCAAACCCGTATTGCAAAGGCTGTGTGGATAGCTTCACAGTGCAGCGCTCAACCAGTTGCGCCACCAGGGAGGCCTACTTTATTAGTATATTCCTTCTAAAGCAATGTCATTATCTCAGTAATAATCATATTTATAGTTACCTATTTCTGGGATCATCTGGATCTATTAAGTCCAAATACTGACTGTCTTGACATATTTCTACAACAGCAGTACAAAATGTCTCCCTTCACAGTGCAATTTTAGGTTGGCATCAGAAAATAATGAGAATTAAATGACAGGAACATTTTGTAAATTTCTCTTGGACCAGAATGCAGATCTCTCCGACTAAAAATATTAAAGGCACATGGATTAGAGCTTAAACAGTCTAATACAGCTTAAACAGCCTAATACTTAATTTTTTTTTTAAAGATTTATTTTTATTTTTATTTATTTATACAAGCACTGGGTACAGTCAGAGCACGGAAGGGTGAGAGAATTCACCAGGGAGCAGAGCAGGCAGAAGGACCGAAGTACACTGCTGAGGGAGCAGCGGGCAGCAGGAGAGGTCTGCGTGCCATGTGGGACCCTCCTCCAGTGGCCGGGGAGCAGCCGGGGATCGAACTGGCGCAGCAGAGGCTGCGGACAGCTTTGCAACCCGGCGCTCAACTGCTGCGCCACCGGGGAAGGCCCAATACTTGATTTCTTGACATAAGATTCCATCCAGTTATCTATGACCCTTCTGACTTTAAGAATACCCTAAAGAAAGGGGCACAGATCATCCTCTTGGCACTACATAAGCTTTTAGTACAAGCATGTGGTTGTTATGAAAAAAAGTATCTTTCTTTGCCAATCCAAATATTTTGAATGTGAGTGCTACCTGAGTCTTTAATGCTTACAGAAGATTTTCTAAATAAGCTGCTGATGCCTATAACAAAATACGGAAGGACTTTAGTAAAGAAATGAGGAAACCAGGGATATACAAGTGAAACCCTAGAATCAGCTAGGTAAATCTAAATGTATGCAAGACTTTATATGGCTCCAAGTGCCTAGTAAAATAACATAAAAGTGATAGGTCAATGTACACAAAGAATCTTCCTCTCAGAACTGAACAGAGAACAAGCCTTTAGAATACTTCTCTGCAGAAATGAGAAGTTTTGAGAATCAGTTTTGGATCAGTGGTCTTTCAGCTTACACTTTTGAGGCATTGTCTATAAAATGTTTCACAGGAATATACAATTCCACCTCTCCAACCCAAACAGTAGCTTTGTAGTAAAGTCTTGACTTAGACTTGTCCAAGGATAAGAAGCTTCACAAAACTGATAAATCTAATAAGATTCCCTCTTGCCAAAGGCAAACATATTTTTGATGACTAGAAAATAGGAAAGAGGGCCTCCCTGGTAGCGCATGGGGTTAAGACGCAACCTATGAAGCTATCCGCAGCCCCTGCAGAACAAGTTCCATCACAGGCCAGGGAGCTACCCAAATGGCGCAGCAGACCTCTCCTGACTTGCCTGCTACTCCCCTCAGCCTTGTATTTCAGTCAGTCCTCCTGTTCTGTTCCCCACTCTGTCTCTGGTGAATCCTCTCACCCTCCCCCCCACACCTCTGGCCTGTACCCCAATGCTTGTATGCATAAATAAATAACTCTTTTAAAAAAAAAAAGAAAATAGAAAAAAAATTTACTAGGTATATACCAAAAGCTGGGTTCTAGTACCCTTTATATCATCCTATTGCAATGATGGGCTGTCACTGGGAACTTGCTATCAATTCATCACTTGCATTCTTAGCATCAAGTCAAAAAACATGAGTAAATAGATTGTTTATGCTGTTATTAAAGGTAAAAGCTTATCTACATAAATAGCTAGATATCTCCCATATTCCACACTCAGTATATCTGCTGCAATAAAAAGTTTGAGGCTAATGAAAATTCCTGGTATCAAATAAAAGGAGGAGGCTTTTTCGTTAATTTTTTTAATGTCATTTAAACTATGACTATGGAAAATTGTGCTCTGTATTGAACTATGAATGTACAGGCATCTTTGACTATCTCACTGATATTCCTACATCACATAAAGGCAATGCGACAGCTTGAACTGCACTGGGAAAACTGCTAAAAGGGCTATTTGCCAAGAAGCTTTCACCAAATCATTTTTACAAAAAGGCTGATACCCATAATTGGACAACTATAGAGAATAAACAGCATTTCTATTGGCAAACTTGGCAAATTTGTATGAGCTCTTTATTAATTTAGGATATATTCCATATACTTCTGACTCAAATTCTTAGAAAAATCATTTTTTAGTCATTTAGCTACCAAATACATGGAAAATTCAACACAATCAGAGTCCTAATAACAAATACATTTTTGATTTACAAAAGGTCTGATCCTGTATTTGCAAAATGTTTGTGTTCTCTTATACTTCACATTTCATAGTACAGCAACACCTCCTTCACAACGGCTTGTGATCATGTTACTGATTTCTGTCCATGTATCTGAATGAGGGTTATAAACCTCAACTGAGTCCAAGGTACCTGGGGCCAAGAAATCATGGCTGGAAGATCGACCTCCAGAAACATATAGAAGCCCATTGACTGCCACAACACACATGCCTGCTCTAGGCACTTTCATTGAGGCAACTTCAACCCATTTTTCCTGGTTAAAAGAAAAAGAAAGTTAGTATTGTCTTAAAATGAAAATAGAGAAAACTAGTGAGAAATCAGATACATGTTTAAATTTTAAACTCATAATCTAGTCATATAGGTATACAGGACATTTTTAACGGGCTCACAGTTTCAAAACATATATACGCTGATATACAAATACTTATAAATGAATTGTTTGACTACATGTATGTACACACATACATATATTTCCCACTTCTGTTTACTGAGCATGCCTAGAAGCTGCAATACCTCAGAAGGAATGAGTATTCTGGGTAACTACATATAAATTTCTAAATACTGTCCTTCACTACTAGAAAACTGGAGTTATAGCACAAAAGAGTATAAGATGAGCTTGAAATATCACTGTATTCTATACTTGTAATTCGTTAAGATACTAGATCTTAAATGCTCTCATCACATACACAAAAAGGGAACTATGTGAAATAATAAAAATGTTAATTACCTTGATCATAATAATCATTTTTTAATTTTTTAAATATTTATATATTTATGCATACAAGAACTGGGGTACAAGCCAGAGATTTGGGGAGTGAGAGGATTCATCAGAGACAGAGTGGGGAACAGAACAGGCAGACTAACTGAAATACACTCGTGAGAGGAGCAGCAGGCGGGCGAGACAGGAGAGGTCTGCCTCACCATGTGGGTTGCTCCCTGGCCAGCCGGGGATCGAACTCGTGCTGCAGAAGCTGCGGATTGCTTCATAGTATGGTGCTTAACCCCTTGCGCCACCAGGGAGGCCCATGATAATCATTTTTAATGTATACATATATCAAAACATCACCCTGCACATCTTACACATAATTTTTATTTGTCATTATACCTCAATAAAGTTGGAAAAAAACATAAAACACAAAGAGAAAAAAGATGGGGGCGGAACTAACAAAGCCTTATGACTGTGGGACAGTAGTATCAAGAGGTTTTACATGCCTATTATTGGAGTCAAAGAAAAAGAACAGGAGAATATTTGAAAAAATATGGCTGAAAACATTCCAATTGATGGAAGTGATTATCAATTCCACTGATTCAAGAAGCGCAATCAATTCCAAGCAGGTTAAACACAAAACTAACAAGACACACCATAATCAAATTACTATAACCCATGATAAAGAGGAAATCTTAAAAGCCACCAAAGAAAAAAAGGCACATTAATACAACAGGAACAAGGACTTCCCATCAGAAAGAATACGGCAAAATAATTAAACACTTTTATGGTAATGGAGGAAATATAACCACCTAAAATTCTATATTCAGCAAAACATCTTTCAAAATGTTAGGTTGGGGAGAAAAAGAGTTCAGAAAATGAAAGCTAAGAGAATCAATGCCAGCAGACCAGCAATAAAAAGAAGATTAAAGAAAGTAATTCAGGCTAAGAGAAGATGGTAAGAGATAGGAACTTAGCTTGATAAAAAATGAAGAGAAAAAGGAGTCGATATATGTATAATTACAAAAGTTTTTTTTTTTTTTGGTGGGACCCTCGCCCGTGGCCGGGGATCGAACTGGCGCTGCAGAGGCTGAGGGCAGCCTCACAGCCCAGCGCTCAACCGCTGCGCCACCAAGGGAGGCCCAATTACAAAAGATTTTATCTTTAAAAAAATTATCTTGGGTGGGGCCTCCTAGGGGACTGAGGGCTTAAGTCTTAGGCTGTCACCACTGAGTGATTCCCAGCCAGGGAGCTGACCCATATGGCACAGCAGATCTCTCTTGTCTCGCCCACTGCTCCCCTCTACTGTGTATTTCAGTTAGTCTGCCTGTTCTGTTCCCCACTCTGTCTCTGGTGAATCCTCTCACCCTCCTGCACATCTGGCCTGTACCCCAGTTCTTGTATGCATGAATAAATAAATTTTTTTAAAATTGAAAGCATAAGGGGAAAAAAAGATATACCATATAAATACTAACCCCAAAATAGCTTGGTTACATTAACATCAGTATACTTTAGAACAAAGAATATTATCAGAAATAAAGAAAAACATTTCATGATTAAAAAATGATCAATTCACCGAGAAGACATAATCTCTATGTGTACATATTTAGTAACAGAGATTCAAAATATTTGGAGCAAAATCTGACAGAAATGAAGGAAGAGACAGAAAAACCCATAATTAAAGATTTCAACAGCCTTTCTTTCTTAGCAATTGACTACACAACTGGATAAGTTGAAAAGTCTAGAGAAGACTTGAACTACCCAAATTCAGCTACACAATTTGACCTAACCAACATTTATCAAGCACTACACTCAAGAATAGAATATAAATGCTTTTCAGATGCACATAAAACATTTATCAAGAAAGAAATCACACAAAATATGTTAGCCAAATTGGAATTGAATTAGAAATCAATTACACAAAAATATTTGGGGAAATTCCTAAATATTTGGAATTTAAATAACATACTTCTTACAACACATTAGTCAAAGGGAAAATTAGAAGCTATTTCTAGATAAATGATAGAGCACAAAATATCAAAATGTGTGGGATGAAGTGGAATGCAGTTAAAGCAAGATCTGAAAATAATTTATAGCTTTAAAGGTTTACATTATAGAAAAAGGACAGTTTAACTCAATTATCTAAGCTTCCACTTTAAGAATCTATAGAGAGCAAAGTGAATCCATAAACAAATGAAAAGGAAAAAAAAGTAACAGAAATTGATTAAATAGGATGTGGACAATCAGTAGGAAAAAAAAAACCAATGACTAAAAGCTGGTCCTATTTTTTTAAAAGAGGGAAAGAAACCTATAAATGATTGCTATCATGAATGAAAGCACATTACTATAGGTCTTACAGACACTGAAAGAATAGGGTATCAAACATCTGAAATCATGCAACCTACCTCTTCAAAGGAATATTTTTCTACAGTATGAAGAGCATCTTGTGTTTCATTCCACCCTCCAATAGAATAGATGCAGTCATTGAGTGCAGCCACCCCAAGATATGCTCTCCTAGTTCCCATTGGAGGAAGTGGAGACCAACGCTTGGAAAGTGGATCATAAACTTCGAAAGAACAAAGCTCTATTCCTTCGTTACTGATGCCTCCAACTACATAAATTAAACCTAGAAATGGAAGATTTTTGCTCAGATGCTATAAAAAATAGAATTTAAATGCTTATAAAAAGTAATAGCTGTGATTTAAGTTTGCTATATGATGCTATATTTAATAAGGTTTAAATATTCTTTAAAAGAGAAAATTGACTTCTGTCTAGTTAATGACAGATCACATTTAAGCATGTTACAAAGAATTAGGGGTACGAATTTAAAGTGGCTTTGAATTTTCAAATAACTTAGTAATGCTATAACAACTAGTCAGATATGGATGTCCCATCTTTTTGTCTGCCTGATCATCTCAGGTTCCAGATTCGATACTATCATACATAAAGTATGATAAACAAGGAAAAGGAAAGGGATTTTTTTTTTCCCCTAAAAAAAGTCAAGTACTTAAAGCAGAATGACAAGATCCTGTTTGGTGACATCCTACCTATTGCTCAGATGGAGCAATAAAACAGAGAGCTGAATTTACTGAATAATTATATGGCTATATAACGGGATCAACCAATAGTGTAAAACAGAATATAACTTGGGCCTCCCCGGTGGCGCAGCAGTTGAGTGCTGGGTTGCGAAGCTGCCCGCGGCCTCTGTGGCGCCGGTTTGATCCCCAGCTGCTCCCCGGCCACCGGCCACCGGAGGAGGGTCCCACATGGCGTGCAGACCCCTCCTGCCGCCCGCTGCTCCCCTCAGCAGTGTGCTTTGGTCCTTCTGCCTGCTCTGCTCCCCGCTCTGGCTCTGGTGAATTCTCTCACCCTCCCACGCTTCTGACTGTACCCAGTGCATATATAAACAAACAAACAAACAAATAAATAAAACATGCCTCTATAAAAAGAAATATAACTTATAGAATTTCTTTTGAGATTTGACTTGAACCTAATGATTATGATAATTTACAATTATTTTTGAATCTAGTGTTGTTTCCCATGTCTAAAGTGAGGAGTTGCAAGTTGTTTTTTTTTTGGTTGTTTTTTTAAAAGATTTATTTTTGTATAGAAGAACTGGGATACAGGCCAGAGGTGCAGGGCATAAGAGGATTCACCAGAGACAGAATAGAGAGCAGAACAGGAGGATTTTACTGAAAGGGGAACTGCTAAGGGGAACAGAAGAAGAAACAGCAGAGGTCTGCTGCGCCATGTGGGTTAGCTCCCTGGACAGGATTGAGCACAGACCACAGAGGTGCTGAGACTTAAACCCTGCACCACCAGGGAGGCCCTGAGGAGTTTTAAGTTATAAATAATGGCATTTTAAGAAATGTGATTACATGGTGATAAACTTGGGTTCTAGCTCCAGCTTTGCCGATAATGTACTAAGAGAAAAGACAACTTACTACTTCTTAAACTATAAATACTAGGGTTGAAAAAACTAAACTTGTGGGTCTCAGCAAGTTAAGTCAGGTTAAGTCTCAGCACTACTATGCTATCACCACTGCAGCCTGTGTTTGATCCTGGCCAGGGAGCTAACCCACATATAGTGCATCAGACCTCTCCTCTCTTGCCCACTGCTCACCTTAGCAGTGTATTTTAGTAGATCTGCCTGTTTTGCTCCCCACTCTGTCTCTTGTAAATCCTCTCACTCCATCCTGCATCTCTGGCCTAAACCCCAGTTCTTCTATGCACAAATAAATAAATAATTTTTTTTTTTTTTTAATTTATTTGTTTGCTCATGCACTGGGTACAGTCAGAAGCGTGGGAGGGTGAGAGAACTCATGAGAGCCAGATCGGGGAGCAGAGCAGGCAGAAGGACCGAAGCACACCGCTGAGGGGAGCAGCGGGCGGCAGGAGAGGTCTGCGCGCCATGCGTGACCCTCCTCCGGTGGCCGGGGAGCAGCCGGGGATAGAACCGGCGCCCGCAGAGGCCGCGGGCAGCTTCACAACCCAGCGCTCAACCGCTGCGCCACCAGGGAGGCCCAATAAATAAATCTTTAAAAAAAAAAAAAAAAAAAAAAAACAACTTCAAGATGACTCTCTAGCTCAATGATTTTATTTTTTTATTTTTTTTAAAAATAATCCCTGTTGTTGACTTTTTTTTTTAATTATTTAATTATTTATTTTATTTATACAAGCACTGGGTACAGTCAGAAGCGTGGGAGGGTAAGAGAATTCACCAGAGCCAGAGCGGGGAGCAGAGCAGGCAGAAGGACCGAAGTACACTGCTGAGGGGAGCAGCGGGCGGCAAGAGAGGTCTGCGCACCACGTGGGACCCACCTCTGGTGGCTGGGGAGCAGCTGGGGATCGAACCAGCGCTGCAGAGGCTGCGGGCAGCTTCGCAGCCCAGCACTCAACTGCTGCACCACCGGGGAGGCCCTAGCTCAATGATTTTAGATGGGAAGATAAAAATAATAAATATAAAACAACTAGAGAACACTATAATGTTAAACAATAGAATATAGTCTATATCATGTAATTTGAACATTTAAATGGTAGTGGAAATCTGAAAAAATACTCGTAAAGCAGAAAGAACTTGAGCTGCTAACAGAGCAGGTTGAGTTGTCATATAATAATAATGGGCAATTTGCTTCCTCTTCTTCAGGTACATATAAAACTGTCCTTCAACAGAGGACAAAGAATCAAGTTCTATTTGACAGTGCTGACTAACTACCTCTCAGAGAATAGGATATTAATGTCTGTATACCATCTTAATATGCAGTATTACATTTATCAAATCTGACATAGCATTATGTTCTGTGTGAACTAAATTACAATATACCCTGTTTAAAAAAAACACTGAAGAAGCCTGTAAGTCTAAGAAGATTGTTTTTGATATTTCCTACTTAGAAAAACTACTTAAGAAATACTACTTAGAAATACTAAGGCCTTCATGGGAGAGAAAATGATGATAACAGATGACATTTCAAATGCTTATTTTGCTAGCCAGGTATATTTTTGTGTATTACGAATGTTAGTTTTGTTTAATTATGAAAAATGGAATATTTTGGCACTGTAGAAATAAAGAGACAAAAGGCTAAAAGAAGAAGTTAAAAGCTGAATTTCCATTCTGTTAGTGTCAATCATTCAATACTAACAGACATAAAATATGTTTCTGTGAAAATAAAGCCTCAAACTCAAGTTTTTCAAAAATATTTTTTCAGGAAAAATATTTTATAAAGCAATTACCTTGCATTTCACAGCATCCAAAATAGTAGCGTGACATAGCCATGTTGCCAACTACTTCCCATTTATTTTCATCAGGATCAAATCGTTCAATGGTGTTCCCAATCTCAGCTCCAACCCATCCACCTATAACAAAGAGAAAAATGTTATTTCTGGAATAAAGAAATTTTATTTATGAAAAGCTCCTTAGAAAACATCTACTATGACCACATATTCTACATGATTATTACATGGACCAGAAAGGTTATTTGCCAAGGATCACACAAAAAGTTATAAATTGAGTGTAAAACTCAAGTCTTTTACTCTGTCTAGTTTTTACTAGCAAACAAAAACTTACCATTGCATAGAAAATACTGTAATTTGTAAAACTACTTTGAAACATCTGCATATTCAAAATGATTATTCTATAAGCCCTAACTAGTCAACTAAAGTGATTCACTGCCTCTCTCATTTATATTTTATCTCCATCTCCATAAGAACTAAGAATTTCATGCTTGAAAATATTCCCCAAGTAATATAATTTTGAGAATAAGAATTTATAAAGCTAAAAGATACACATTTCTTAGGGGAGAGAAGAAACAATTCTAAAATAATCAGAATCTGAGGATGTAAATAATAATAACTATCCTTAAATTGAAGAGAATAATTGGGGCCTCCCTGGTGGTGCAAAGTGTTAAGTCTCAGCACTAGGAAGCTATGGGGAGCCACTGCACTAACAGTTCAATCCCTGGCCAGGGAGCTGACCCACATGGCCCAGCAGACCTCCTGTCTTGCCCACTACTCCCCTCAGCAGTATATTTCAGTACATCTGCCTATTCTGCACCCCACTCTGTCGCTGGTGAATCTTCTTAGGCCCCACACCTCTGGCCTTTACCCCACTTCTTGTATGCATAAATAAATAAATCTTAAAAAAAAACCACAACAAAACTGAGGGTCTCCCTGATGGCGCAAGTGATTAAGCACAGCACTATGAAATAATCCGAAACCTCCACAGCATGAGTTCGATCCCCTGCCAGCCAGGGAGCAACCCACATGGCGCAGCAGACCTCTTCTGAATCGCCTGCTGCTCCCCTCAGCAGTGTGTTTCAGTCAGTCTGCCTGTTTTGTTCCCTACTCTGTCTCTGATGAATCCTCTCACTCCCCGAATCTCTGGTCTGTACCCCAGCTCTTGTATGCATAAATAAATAAATCTTTAAAAAAAAAAAATGAAGAGCATAATTACCCAATGCATAGATAGCCCCGTAACACACGCACACTCCCAAGCCACAGCGGGGGTGATTCATGGAAGCTACAGTTGTCCACTGTTTAGTAACTGGATCATAGCATTCAGTACAGTCAAAAATCATTGAATCCTTTTCACCTGAATTAATGAAAGAGAAATATATGAGAAGATTTAGTAATGCTAATAGGCTAGAACCATAATACAATATTCAGCAGCACTCCTTGTCAGAAATTCAACCATTTTGTCGGATTTTATACTTTTCATTAAAATTCATTTGCCCAGCAAACATTATTTTGAATCCATAACATTGTTATTTATTAAAGTCCACTTAATGAAACAAAGGCACAGTTTTCCCATTATTTTTAATTCTATCCAAAACAATCCATGTAATATTTGAGGAGTCAATTTGCATTTTAACACTCCTTATGTATCTTTACATATTAGTTTGGATAGCTGGCCCTGGTACAATTTGAGATTTAATGTAGTCCTTATCTAGAAACAAACAAAAGGAAATAAAAAGCTATCACTGAAAATTGAATTTTATTTATTTTTGTTTATGTATATAACAGGAGTGTAGGTCAGAGTGGGCGGTGAGAGGACTCATCAGACACAGAGTTGGAAGCAGAACTGGCAGATCTACTGAGATACACTGCTGAGGGGTGCAGTCAAGACAGGAGAGATCTGCTGCGCCATGTGGTTTGTTCCCTGGCCGGGGATCAAGCTTAGACCATAGAGGTGATAGCTCAAGGCTTCTTGGCTGAGGAGGTGAAATGGGGATGAAAAAGTCGACCTGAGTTCTACTTACCATGTTTTAATATCTAATTTGCACAAAGTACTATATGTTAGCAAGGGACTGTCTCCATACCTTGTCCCTACATCTAGAAGCAATATTGAGGGCCTCCCCGGTGGCGCAGCGGTTGAGTGCTGGGTTGCGAAGCTGCCTGCGGCCTCTGCGGTGCCGGTTCGATCCCCGGCTGTTCCCCGGCCACCGGAGGAGGGTCCCACATGGTGCGCAGACCTCTCCTGCCGCCCGCTGCTCCCCTCAGCAGTGTGCTTCGGTCCTTCTGCCTGTTCTGCTCCCTGCTCTGGCTCTGGTGAATTCTCTCACCCTCCCGCGCTTCTGACTGTACCCAGTGCATGTATAAACAAAACAAACAATAAAAATAAATAAAAACATGCCTCTATAAAAAAAAAAAAAGAATAGAAGCAATATTGAGAAAAGAAGATAAAGGTCAACTAACACACACACGTTCGTGTATGTACACACACACACATATATGTACACACACACACACAAAGGCATGTAAGAATATGGCCAACTTATAGCCAGAGACTAATAAAGGAAATAAAACATTATCACTATTACCTCCAATAGCGTAGACCATCCCGCCCAGAACTGCTACTCCCAGCCCACATCGAGCCTGATGAAGTGAAGACACAGTGGTCCAATACTGGCTGAAGGTGTCAAAACGCTCTACACAGCTGAGGGCTCTGCTATCACTCCAACGACCCCCCTGCAACCGAGTATATCCACCTAAACATAGGAAGGAAAGGATGTACAAAGTAAATCCCTTACTGTTAAATATGCAAATGGTAATGAGAAAAATCTACTCTCCTACAGCTAGACATTGAGTAAAACTATTTAAATAGCAAGAACTAAGTGCTTTAAAGTCTACTATATATACACATATTATTCTTAAATGTGCCAAGTTCTGAAAAATTATGGCTTGAATGTAATGAGGTTAATATGGTTCTATCTACCCTCTGATCATGGTTATAACAAAATGTTAGAGAAATCATAAATCTAGAAGATAGTTATCTGCCTAATTAAGAAGTTTCATTTTGATTTCTATTAATTTCTTTTTCAATTAAAAACTCTAAGCATGAATTAAAAAATGACATTCATAGCATATATAAAATTACACAAATATTTATATACAAATTATACATAAATTGCTACCTCTATAAATCTGGACAATCTGTTTATAGATGTATATCAAATATTGATAGGATTTAATGCTTTTTAAAATAAAAACGAAAATTCATCTGGGTTATCCTGTACAACCACACTTTGGAGATCACTGGTTCTTACCCATCATCCCTAATGACCATCTAAAACACTATAAGGGGCCTCCCTGGTGGCGCAAGGGGTTAAGACGCAGCACTATGAAGCTTTTCACAGCCACTGCAGCACGAGTTCGATCCCCAGCCAGGGAGGTGACCCCGCATGGCACAGCAGACCTCTCCTGTCTCGCCTGCTGCTTCCCTCAGCAGTGTATTTCAGTCAATCTGCCTGTTCTATTCCCCACTCTGTCTCTGGTGAATTCTCTCACCCCCTGCACCTCTGGCCTGTACCCTAGTTCTTGTATCCATAAATAAATAAATCTTAAAAAAAAAAAAAAGAGGCTCCCTGGTGGCGAAAGCAGTTGAGCGCAGTGCTGTGAAGCTGTCCACTGCCTCTGCAGCGCCGGTTCGATTCCTGCCAGCAGGCAAGGGTCCCACATGGCGCAGCAGGCCTCTCCTTTCGCGCCCGCTGCTCCCCTCAACAGTGTATTTCATCAGTCTGCTTGTTCTGTTCCCCACTCTGTCTCTGGTGAATCCTCTCACCCTCCCATGCCTCTGGCCTATACCCCAGCTCTTATATAAAAATAAATAAATCTTTAAAAAAATAAAATAAAGAAAGAAAATTTAAAAATAAAGAAATGCACTGCTGAGGGGAGTAGCAGGCAAGACAGGAGGAGAAGTCTGCTGTGCCATGTGGGTTAGCTCCCTGCCAGGGATTGAACCTGTGCTGCAGCAGCTGCGGATAGTTTCATAGTGCTGAGACTTAACCTCTTGCCACCAGGGAGGCCCAAGAATTCAAATTTTTAACTTTTAAAGCGTCATTTCTTTAATCAGTTATTTCATGATAACTTGGCAATTTAAGAACCCAAACATTTATTTTTTTATTTTTATTTTTTTTTAAGAACCCAAACATTTAGATCACAGAATAACAAATGTCAATAGGTAGTTACTTATTCTTAGATATGTTGACCGTATTATATAAATGCAATTTATAAAGTTGTAGCCTGTATGTGAAATTAAATATGCCTATTTTGACATAACTGCATATGCACAACTTTATTGTAATATCAACAAAATATTAAAAGGTAAATAAAGATAATTTCTATTACTTTACTAAGAATTCTCACCTACTGCATATAGGTACTTTCTTGCTTTCTTCCGAGGTCGAACCTTAGATGTCTGCAGAAAACTACAAAACTTGCTCTCTTTGGAAGCTTTGCACACCTCACAGTACTCTTTCAAAAGTGTTTGCAATGCAACACGAAGATTAAAATCTGATACACCTAAAGCAATGTTTTAAAGAGATGTTTTAAAGAACTTTTAAATAATATTAAAGACATGTTTTCATAAAAATAATAGACATTTTATAATCAAAAAATAAAAACACATGATTAAACAAGTGTTTATTTCCCACAAAACCAAATATTCTATTTCTCATTGCTACTAAAGAATATTTTCCTTAAATCAAAGATTGTTTTTAAAAATATGCTTCCAGGGCCTCCCCTGGTGGCGCAGCAGTTGAGCGCTGGGTTGCGAAGCTGCCCGCGGCCTCTGCGGTGCCGGTTCGATCCCCAGCTGCTCCCCGGCCACCGGAGGAGGGTCCCACATGGCGCGCAGACCTCTCCTGCCGCCCGCTGCTCCCCTCAGCAGTGTACTTCGGTCCTTCTGCCTGCTCTGCTCCCCCGCTCTGGCTCTGGTGAATTCTCTCACCCTCCCGCGCTTCTGACTGTACCCAGTGCTTGCATAAATAAATAAATGAATCTTAAAAAAAAAAAATAAAATAAAAATAAAAATATGCTTCCATTGTTTTTAAAAATATGGATATTATCCATAATATCCAATTTGAAACAATGAATGAGGATTTCTAAATAAAGATGGCAAGTTTAAACAGGATCACAGTTATCTAACAAAAGAAAAAATTAAGTAGCCCCAAATTCTATACTTACAAACTAGTAACAAAAAGAATATAAAATTATATCATGAATTTAGTCAATGAAAGAAATAAAATATTCTGGTGGGATGAGTTCCATTTCCTAAAAAGACATTGAGCATGATTGGGTAGAAATCTGGAGATTCTCACTAATAAACATTATTGGCGAGAGGTAGATTGAGCAGGTAAGAAGCATAACTGTGAAATCAAAGAACAAAATCATTAATAGGAAGTTCCTTTGTAGGACCATCAGTGAAGGTAGTGTGGCTCACCAATCTTTGCCATTCAACAGTGCTACCCGAAGTACTAGTGAGATCCATTCTTGATGGGGTTAAGAAAACCCTGATACAAGACGAATAATGGGATTTTATTTTTTAAAAAAGATTTATCTTATTGGGCCCCCCTGGTGGCACAGGCGGTTGAGTGCAGTGCTGTGGAGCTGTCCAGTCAGCCTCTGCAGCGCAGGTTCAATCCCAGACGCCGGCGAGAACCCCACATGGCCGGGAGACCTCTCCTGTCTCACCCGCTGCTACTTTCAGCAGTGTATTTCAGTGGATCTGCCTGTTCTGCTCCCCGCTCTGTCTCTGATGAATCCTCTCACCCTCCTGCACATCTGGCCTATACCTCAGTTCTTGTATGCATGAATAAATACAGCTTTAAAAAAAAGATTTATTTATGCATAGAAGAACTGGGGTGTAGGCAGAGGTGCAGGGGGCAAAAGGATTCATCAGAGACAGAGTGGGGAGTAGAACAGGCAGATGTACTGAAATACACTGCTGAGGGGAGGTCAGATGAGCCATGTGGATTGGCTCCCCGGCCTGGATCAAACTCATGCTGCAGTGACTGGTGACAGCTTGATAGTGCTGAGACTTAACCCCTGCAACACCAGGAAGGCCCCAAATAATGGGATTTTAAAAGAGAGATCAGAACTCAGGTCCCCACGCAAGGGACTTAGCCTCAGTAGATCTCTGTTCTTCCACCACCCTCATGCTTCAGGCTATAAAGTAGTAGTGAGAATACAATACAAAACCCTCAAATTTTATCAATAGATGGGAGAAACAAGCTTGCTACACTAAGGCAGAAAGGATGTCATGGAGAATTAGCTATTATGAGAACAAACAAGTTTGAACAGAGTTGCCCATATTAAGCATGAGCAATCCGTCCAGAAATAGTAATACAATAATTAAAATACACCTAAAGTAAAAGAAGAAAAAGAGATGGAAAAATTTATTCTAAAAGAAAGCATTATTTTCATTTTCATTCTCCTTTTCCTAATAACCCTGTCCTTCTAAAATAGAAAAGCAAGGGCATCCCTGGTAACACAGGGGTTAAAGACAGCACTATCAAGCTACTGCCAGCCATTGCAACATGAGTTCGATCCCCGGCCAGGGAGCTACCCACATGGAGCAGCAGAACTCTCTGGTTTCCCTTCATTAGTATATTTCAGTAGATCTGCCTGTTCTACCCCCTACTCTCTTTGGTGAATCCTTTCACTCCCCCCCCCACACACCTCTAGCTTACATCCCACTTCTTGTATGCATCAATAAATAAATAAATAAATAAATAATAAAATAGAAAACCAAACAAAAAACCATTAACCAGAAACAGATTGTCTATAAGTTAAATTTACTTAAAGATACAGTGCTATTAAAAAAAAAAAAGAGCTAGCTCAGAAACAATGAGATACACTTCTAAAGTAACAAAATGAGAACTGAAATGATAGTACTACAGACTTAACAAATTAGAAACAAGAAACATGATGTGACCAATAAAGTTTGTAATAAATGTTTGAGAAAACAACTGTGAATACAATAGAAAATAGAAGAATATACTTTATAGTAAAAGAAGACATATGAAAGACAAAGTTCATAAAAAGATGAAGAGTACCAAATATAATTATTAAAAATACTCAGATATTCCTTACAGGAAATTTTCTCCCAAATGATAGAAAAACTGAACCTTTATTTATTTTTTTAAATTTTTAAAAAAGATTTATTTATTTATGCATACAAAAACTTGGGTACAGGCCAGAGATGCGGCAGGTAAGAGGATTCACCAGAGACAGAATGGGGAACAGAACAGGCATACTGACTAAAATACATTGCTGAGGGGAGCAGCAGGTGAGATAGGAGAGGTCCGCTGCACCATGTGGGTTGCTCCCTGGCCAGCCAGGGATCGAACTCATGCTGCAGAGGCTGCAGATTGCTTCATAGTGCAATGCTTAACCCCTTGCGCCACCAGGGAGGCCCCTGAACCTTTATTTTTAAAAGGAAAGGGTACTATATAGTATAGTCTAGTGAAAAATGACAATTTTTAACATAAGAGCAATGAAAGAATTCTTCATGCATTCCTGTGAAAAAAGCAAGTCATTTTTAAAAAAATGCCTTATAAAGTTGGGGTGGAACAGGGAGAAGTTTCATCACAACTTAATATTATGCCCACCCAAATTCCTGTTAAATTTTAAAAGTAACAGACAGGAAAATTCTTAAATATGAGAAGAGTTCAGGAAATCCAATAATTATGGTTGTATAGGCCTCATTCAGGCATAGGGTGGCCATGAGTTCAATGTTAACAAGTCAATAATGAACATTATATAAGGTGCTTCTGACAGAAACACACATAAAGTGAAGTTATATATTGATCAGTTGACAAAAGCATTGTGGCTAGAGGTTTGTGAAAATTTATCCTAATTTTCCCCTAGGAACACTGGTTCAGTATTTGCCAATTCAGTGTTTGTGGCAACTTTATAGAACATACTTATAATGAAGTACAGAAAATTGACTCTAATCATCAATAAAGAGTATCTATCACTTAAAAAAACATACAAAATTCTGTTAACTGGTTGAGTGGGGAAAAGCTAAAAATCCACATTAAATATAATTCCTTCACAGAATTACACCTTAATGCTGATAGTGTAGTTAATTTATAAAATCTTTTGTAATTCAATCACATCCTCAAGTTTCAGTGCATGACAGGAGTAAAAACTTCCCTTTTTTCAAAAATACTGATGAGACACACCTTATTCAAATCAGAATTGTTGAGGGTAGGGCCTAAATATCAGTATTTTTCAGAACTTCTCCAGATGATCCCAATGTGTAGCTAGTGTTTAGAAACACTGATAAAATGGATCCTCCAGAGGCTAGATATTAGCTTTACTTGTTCCTGACACTATCCTCAAATTTTTAAGCACTTTAAGAGAACTGTCACTATAACTTTAAAAAAAAAAAAGCAAAACTTTAAGAGGCTTGAAAATGTACTCAAAAGTCTTAATTTACTTTTTTCTTAAAGACAATTTGCGCCTGGTGGCACAAAGGGTTAAGACGCAACCTATGAAGCTATCTGCAGCCACTGCAGCATGAGTTCGATCACCGGCCAGGGAGCTACCCACATGGTGCAGCAGACCTCTCCTGACTCGCCCGCTGCTCTCTCCAGCAGTGTATTTCAGTCGATCTGCCTGTTCTGTTCCTCACTTTGTCTCTATTTAATCTTCTCACCCCCCTACACCTCTGGCCTGTACCACAGTTATTGTATGCATAAATAAATCTTTAAAAAAATTTTTTTTCTTTTGTTAATATTTGGGACTGTAGAGCTAAAATGCATTTTCATAGGATGTCCAATATGATTTATCACAAACTATATTGTTGATGTAAGTATATAATAAAGTACAACTCTTATCTGTTCACAAAAGTTATCAAATCTTGAAACCAGTTCTCAAGTAGCTTTTAAAAATAAATATCATTTTTATAATATAAAACTGTTTTATACTATGGTTCAGAATTTAGAACCTAAAGATAATTCAAAGGCTACTTAGATGTTAAGATATAAAATTCATTTTAAAATAAGAGAATTTACAGCATTTATTGAGATTTGGTTTTGCTTTTAGCATATGCATTTTCCTCAAATGCTAAGTTTTGCTGAACTTTTTAGAGCGGCAATAGGAAAACTTATACTGAAATATTCAGTATGCTCAAAACAGCAGTATTTTAGCTGTCCATATTTTATCTATACCTCTAATCTCCTTTAGTATTTTTCACAAGAAATGTATATAGGATATGATTAAAATAACGGGTAGAAATACTGATATACTGTCTACCCACAAAATACATTAAGTTGTATCTTGCATATAGTAATCATCCAATAAATGTCTGTAATTGAACTGAAAATGAAAACTTTTTTCAAACAGAAAGCCCCTGAATAATTGACTCTTTTGATATACAACAAAAAAATTACCTTCTATATACTTTAAAAGCCTCTGAGGAGGTAACAAAGGGAATCGAATTGGATCTAGCACTTCCACCACATGTTTTCTTCTCTTCCCCAGATCTTTCAGAATCCATTGCATTGCAGCTAAGAAGACCTGGTATTCATCCTCAATACTAAGCTCTTCACTTCGTAAAATTTTGATTAGCTGATCTTTTGTAAGTGCCAGGAACTCTTCCCCACTATGAACCTCCAAGAAATGGACATGAATGTAGTTTTCTGTGAATTCCAAAAGATCATGGCAGGCAATTTGCTCAGAGAACTGAAAGATCCCAATGCAGTTCAGTGGATCAATTTGTCCTTTCAGAAATTCACAGCAAAGATTAACAACTTCAGTCAACTGTAGCATGTCTGCAGCAACAATCAGTTCCTGGACATTATTCACACCTATGTTCACTATACCTAGGAAGTAGGAAGACAAAATAGTCAATAAGATAAAAAACACTTGACTTACATTTAATAGCATTATACTATTCCACTGATAGCTTAATGTTTGCAGAGCAGATAGATGCTAAGTAAAAGGCAACAAAAGATTTATAGAAAGCACAAAACTTAAATGATGATGCCTAACATATATGGAACACATATAGTGAAGCAGATCTAGCATTTAGACAATTATCCCACAAACTGGTTATTATTATTATTATTATTTTTGAATTAAGGAAACAGAATTAGGTTTAAGTCACTTGTCCCTAAGTCACACGGTTAAGTGAGTTGCAGGGTGGCGACTGACATCAAATTCTATGCTTTTACTATAAAGCTATATGCATCTAACATTTACTTAGGCATTGGGGAACGTAAGTCAGGGTCCCATCTTCAGTTATGATATAGTGCCATATAAATGTTCATTTTTAATATTATATATAACCAAAAGTCTATAACATGAAAAGTTATTACTTGTCCACTCTCTTTCCAGAGGGCTTCACTTTCATATATTTATATGATGACTTTAAGAGGACATTGAAATTAATTCTATATAGAAGGAAAAGAAACCACCTAATTAGGGCAAACTCTTCAATCTTTACCCCTTTTAAAACATTCAGTCCACTAAACTACTCATCCCAATTTGATTTAGAATGTCTACAGAGGCAAGGCTTGCCCCTTTTATATTTCCAATGCCTACCACATATAAGATGCTAAAATCAATTTTTTTTAAATCAAAGTACGGCCAAAGAGATTATGGGGAGAAGAATATTATTTGTTGCATAAAAACTTCCAAAACTGTAAGAAATTTAACCCACCATGGGAGTAAGTAATAGCAGCTGCAGAGAAAACTGAGGTAAGACTTACTTATATGAAATGAGAATTAACCGTGTATTTAGAGAAGATAAAATCATGGATTGTGGTATAAGGGGATTGAATGACTGTTCCTGAATAAAGTCAAGAGTTACTTGAGAATAGTAAAATGAATACCCTACTTTGTAACAGGTATGGCATGATGTACAGTTGCTGAGGTGAGAAACTGTTGTAACATCACCTCAATAAAAAGGAAAAATACTTTAAAAAAGAATGCCTACGACTGATAAGTCTTTATAGATTACAAAGAGCACTTTACATTTATTCAAATTTATCTCAAACTTGATGTGAATAGTGCTACTATCCCCACTTCATGATGAGAAAAATGAGGCTCTCACAAGCTCACTTCTATTTTGTAAGTAATCTGCATTATCTATAAAGCTCTATTAAACAAAGGCCTTGACAGTCTTGTTTACTATCATATATCCAGTGCCTACCTCAAAAAAAAGTACTCAATAAAAATCTGTTGAAAGAGTAAAATAATTGACAAAAGTTAAATGAGATGCTTTGTATCACATCACTAATGGCAGAGCTAGATCACAAACTCAGGTCACTTGATTTCAGGTGAAGTGCATAAAAATCTAAAGTGAGGCTATCCATTAAGACCTATTAGAAATGTGAATGGTTTATAGAGAATGTATAGACAAGCACAAAACAGATAACAGAATAATAGGTTTTAGTGGCCTCACATTATAAAAATGGAAATATATTACAGTGACAATCAAGGGAAAATTTTTTAAAAACTAATTATATAAAAATCTATGAAGCTCCCTGTCCAATAAATACCCAATATTCATTTTCTTTTCATCCTAACTCGATAACCTGGTTGTGGGGAGCAATTGTGCCTTGCTGAAAATTGTATGTGTCAGCCTCCCTCACAGATAGGGGTTAACTTTTGATTGTGTTTCGCCAACAGGATATAGGCAGCACTTGATGACTAGGGCTATCAGAAAAGCTTAAAAAAGAGACTATACTTGGTTGGCAGGTGCTTTTACCTCACCCTCCTCCTCTTTTCATTTGTTCAGTGATCATGAGTTTAGAAACTACAAGCAATACATAGTGGAAAAAAATGACAGAAGAATGGGGCACTAATGATATCATGAAGTCACCATACTAGCCCTGGAATACCTACCAGGGGTTCATTTTTGTGGAAAAATAGACTCCCAACTTATTAAGCCATTTTATCTTTCAGTAAAAGCCAAATGATGTTCCTCTTAATACCAACTTTAGCCTTAAATGTCAATATTCTACAATGTTCTCCCCCCTCCCCCACCAAGATATGCTCAGTAGCTTTTATTTCTCTGGGTTTTACCACTTTTTATTTCTTTAATGGAAGTGCTAATCACCGCAATATGGTGATGACACCATGAACATTCTCTCTTACAAAATACTTATTACAACTGTCAGATAACAGAGACAGAATAGACACCTTATGGCATTTCTTTGGTTTTTGTGTAGCCCAACACTAATTCCATGATTAGCCTGTGTTAATTTATACTTTGCAAATAAGAGAAGCAGGGGTATTTATGAAGCAGTTTAATCAGCTCACACAAGTCATTTAGAAAAGTGAAGTCAAGAACTCCTCAATACATCAGGCAATATGTAGAAGAGCATTACTTTCAGTATATAAGCCATTTTCACAATCCCCAAATTAAGTTATCATCTTGTGAAATTTTCCAAAATGGAATTTGAAGCAACACAGAGAAATCAACTTTTGTCATTTTCCAGGTTTAAATACATCAAGTAAATAAAACTTTATCAGGCCACAAAATTATCTCCAACCAAGAGCATTAAGTCCTCACTTATGTTGATAGGTTCTTGGAAACTGTAACTTTAAGCGAAATGAAACGATGTATAACAAAACCAGGTCCTCTGTTTTGTTCAATGTTGGCTGGAATTTTTTTTCTCATCAATGTTATAATGAAGGACGTTGAACTGGATGTTATTCCAGGACCTGCTGTAGTCCTTTAAGGAATACACAGTGTATCTCAAAACTAGACCAAACATAGTCTTTGTTTTCAAACATTTTTTTTTCTGACTATAAGAGTAATATATATTTACTCTGGAAAACAAACTTTAAGGCAGAAAAGTATAAAAATGAAAATCACATATTTTCACATACACAGACATACATTGTTATTAACACTTTAGTGTATTTCTTTCAAACTGTTAGTACACATATATTTATGTTACACATCATGTAAGACTTATACTTTATATACAGTATAGTTTTTGTGTGCATTTTCTAAGGTCATTAAAGTCTTCAAAAGCATTTTTAAAATAAAAGTTTTGATTAAAGCAAACATGCTAATAATAAACATTTTGAGGGAAAAACAGAAAAAAAGGAAAATAATAATTTTCAATTTTCATCATTTAGAGATAAACACTATCAACACTGACCTTTTACTTATGCACAAATACATATAACTGTTTTTCTTACAAACAGGGTCATATTTGTACCTAGATATTTTTCATTTAATATACTGTAAACATTCTTCTGTGATTTTATATATATATATATATTTATCATTTGCAAGATCTAAAAAATATCCCATTACATATACATGTACCATAATTTAACCACATAACTTACTGTGGGACAATTAGATTGTACTCAATAATATACTATTATAAATAATACAATAAACATTCTGATACATAAATATTTGCCTGAAGTACTAATTAATTACTTAGAATTCCTATAAAAGGGATGATGGGTCAAAAGATAATGAACTTCTCAAAGGCTCATAATAATAATACACTGTCAAGTTACTTTCCATAAAAATTAAATTTATATTCCCATAGTGGTGCACAAGTGATTGCATCAGTCTTCATTCGAAGCAACAGGCTCACTTAACATACCTGTGTAAATGAAATCTAGAAGTACTCGAAAGATTCCAGCTTCAATTCCAAGAATCTGTACAACATCTTTTGAGGACTCTTTCATTCCTCCAGTGAACAAAGCTGCAAAATAAGGACTACTGGCAGCCAAAACCAGCCGATGAACTTTGAAAGTTTCCTTCCCAACTTGCAGTTGCACATCACAGAAATGCTGTCCATTCCTCATTTTATTGATCTGAGCCAAGATGAGCTGAGCATGTTTATCTGATGGAAAAGGATTATCGCTGGCCTTGGAACAGCCCTCATTAGCCATGATGGTGATGATAAATTAATTAAAAGGACTGTTGCCCATAATCTGGTCCTTCCCTGAAAAATTAGAGACAAAGCAATATATTTTTGTGTTTAAATTGTTTTCTATTCATACACATATGGAACATTTCCTATCCTCAAGGAGCTTACAATCTACTTAAGGACATAAAACACCCATGAGACAAATAAGGAATAAAAAGTATAGTAATGTTCTTAAGAGGATTTCAGAGAAGGAAATAATAGGACCTAAAATAATTGTTAAATGCTTCACATCAGAAATGTACCTGAACAAGATATTAAAAGATAAATAGTATTAAGGTATGCAGCCCTAACAGGATTTCAGAGAAGTAATAGGCCTAAAATAATTGGAAAATGCTTCACGGCAACCTGAACAAGATATTGAAAGATATTAAGGTATGCGGTATTAAGGTATGCAGAGAGTATAAGCCCTCCTGGGTGGAGTGAAGAAAACAAGGCAAGGCACAAGGGCAAAAAAGTTTTTTACACAGCAGTAAGGAAGCACATGTTACAGTCACAATAAATTTTCAAAAACCAATGTGATCATGCTAAGTATCTGCTTGAAATTCTTCAATTTGTACACTTCCTTTAGCAGACAACATCCTCCAAATCTCACACTCTTCTGTCTATCCGGTCCTATCCTATACTCCTCTTTGAGTTTAGCACTCCAACAAAAATGAACAATTTGCAGTTCTCTAAAAGTGTCCCTTTTATGGCACCCTTCCCCAAACCTTTTCCTTCTGTATCTTGGTTTTAATTCAAGACTGTTCAAATATAATTTCCCTCAGGAACCCTTCCCTGTTCCTCTCTCCTCTGAGTTTGGTGCAGACCCTAATCTTACCAAATTTTCATTGCACCCTACCTTGTCAGATGTTCTACCATTCTACTCCTGACACAGACACACACTGAAAGCTCCTAGACAGTTCATTAAGTGAAGGGCATATCTTTTATAGCTGTAGTATCACAATCTAACACATATTAATTAGGCTTGCCAGTGTTTGTGTCATAAACAAATGAGTGTAATGAGAAATAAATAACATGATAGCTTAGGTTGTTTTTGTTTAACTTGAATAGATTTTCACACATTATGCCTAAAAATTCTCACAATAATTAAGAGTCTGGAAAGGAGTATTGTTATCTAAAATCAGAAAGAAAAAAAAACCCAGTTTCCCAAGGACACAGTGTTAGTATAAGGACATTCTGAGTATTTGAATCCAGGTTTTCTTACTCTAAATCCTGGGCTATTCCCATCATATCACATGTGTAGGAATTATTAGGCCAGGTTACAGACAAAGAGTTTTGAAACCCAAGCAGAGAAATTTGGACCTGGGTCTTTATAGATTCATGATGAATAAACATGACAATAGTCATGTTTCAGAACTGTTATTTGAGCTTTCAGGGGGGTGAGTCATAACAATGTTCTAGAAAATGGCCTTATAGCTTCAACAATGAGAATCAAAGGGATAAATTTATTTTTTGAATACAAAAAAACATGAGATTTAGTAATATTAAGAGATATGGAGATGAAGTACAGGGGAAATCTAAGATGACTAAAACTTCATAATATAGGCATCAAGGAGAACTGGCAATAAGACTCCCAAATTGTGTGAACTGATATTAGAAAAATATGGTTACATGTATAGCAATATAGTCAAACTTAAAAGGAAAAATATAGTCAAACTTAAAAAAAAAAACTTAATAAGCTGCTTATGATTATTAACTGGCAATTAAATTATTGAGGTATATAACTGAAAGATTCCAAGACAGCTGCTAAAACGTCACATTAGTGTCTCCAGAGTATTTACTATGTCAACATATTACAGTCATATAAAAGCAGACAGTGTATTTGTACACAGAAATTTGACTAGCAGATACTAGTATGACATGGCTGTCAGTCTTTTTTCTGTTTCAGATTTCTTCCTGTCAGATGATTCTGGACCCAGTGGTTTAATTCTACCTCCAACTTGAAGGCATCCAGCAGTCACTGAGCTAAAATGCTGTCTCCTGCTACAAAAAAAAAAAAAGAGTTCACTGAATATCCACTACTAGTAGCAGAAATCCTAATGTTACCCTGTTTTTTTAAATAACTGCTGCTACTTCATTCCAAAAGGCTGCACGTGATGTTAACTGTATTTCTAAAAAGAAAGAGCACAATTCTGGGAGATGACATAGGGATGTAAGGGCCCTGTCTCAAAAGGCCCAACCTTGAAAGGCAGATTTATTAATAAACGCCCAGAGGAAGCAAAAGAGAACCTATGTTTGACGACCCTGAATTCACTGTCAGAGCACCGGGAAGCTTTTTCAGCAAAGGATGTCAGAGAGAATCCCAAGAGCAGAGAGTCCCTAAAGAATGAGGCTCTTTGTGCTTGACTTGGGGGGCTGGACCTGACAAGCTACCCCTAAGTCGCTGCGACACACTAAAAGCGGAGAAACACCCAGAGCTACCTACACGTCCGTAAAGGTATCTCAGATGAGTCTGGGGACGCCCACAGATCCGGGGCTCGACCTTCGGCCTCCCCAGAAGGGGCAGGGATGTTTCCAGCAGCAGTCCGCGAACCGACGCAGGTCCAGACAGGGCGAAAACACTCCCACTACAGGAGGCACGCCCGGACGGCGGGAGGAAGCCGATTAAAAGGGGTCTTCAGGGGTCCCCAGGGCGGCGGGAGAGAGCCAAAAGGAATTCCCAGCCCCGTCACAGACGCACCCGGGACGCAGGCCCTGCTTACCAGCCGCTTCCCTTCCCGCCGGCGCCGGCTCAGGCTCTGCGCGCGCAGTCGCGATCAGCTGTAGCGCGGAGAAGGCGGGGAAACCAGGCCCGGGTGGCGAGGCCGGGTGGACTCGGCAGTGCGGTCGGGTGAACGCCGGAGGTGAGGCCGGGCCTGCTGCCGGCTGGCTCTGGCGCACCGCCGGGCCGGGCCAGGGTCTGCGCGTGCGCGGTGCTGTGACGCCCGCGGTGGCGGCGGCTCCAGAGACGCGCCGCAGTGATGCGGGGCGTGCGCTGCAGGCCCTGCAGGCGCGCCCGCCCCCGGGGACTGCCCGAGCCGCAGCTCGCTGGGGCTGGCTAGTCAGCTCGGTCCACTCCGCCTACACCCTCGATTCTTGCGACGTTCCAGGCTGCCAGCGAGCGTCAGCTAAGGAACTCCCGGATTGGCGCTTCTCTTTTATTCTTTACCATTCATTCATATCATCTTCTGCGTCTCGGCCTGAGCCAGCGCTGTGAATGGATGCCTACTTTGTTGGAAGGGAAATTGCAAAGTTTATTTATTGGACCTCAAAATATGTCACATTAGCGGTTTTCAAACTTTTTTTTCACCAGAATATGATTATATTTCAATACACAACTTCAGTACAACAAAAAAATAAAACACAGTAAAATAAGGGCAAAAAAACATGGCATTCATTTGCAATGCATGACAAATTAGTAATATACTTAGCCATAAATGTATCTTAGAAACAAGAGCGAGACCAATATTCTAATCGAAATGAAAATACAAATGAAAATGAAATAACACTAAAGACTACTAAGTATGAAAGGTATATGAAGATGACTTAACAATAACAAAAAAGAAATTTCCTTGTAGCTCACATTCCCTAAGATTAAAAACACTGATATTTGTACAGTTTTAGAAAACATAAGGAAATATGTAGTTTTGACTAAAAATATAAAGGTTGTATATTCATATTCCAAAATTCCCACTTAATTATCTCAATACTTTAACAGGGCAACTCCAAAATAATTAATAAGCATGTTCACTTCATAGAGTATCTGTAGCTAATATATGATATCAAAATCAATTTGGTAATCATCTTTTTCAAAAATTCAAAGTACTTAGAGATTAGTGAAGTTTACTATTTTTACTTCTTAAATGCCTTTTCCCTTGTATATTCTGCTCTATAATATTATCTGCTATTAGAAGAGTTTTGTGCATATCCTTTTAGGGTGTATTGATTACCAAATTGGTTTTCAAACTTTTTAACTCCAGCCCACAGTGACAGTAACATCCTATATGAAAACCAGTACATACCGGGGCCTCCCCGGTGGCGCAGCGGTTGAGCGCTGGGTTGCGAAGCTGCCCGCGGCCTCTGCGGCGCCGGCTCCATCCCTGGCTGCTCCCCGGCCACCAGAGGGTTCCACATGACGGCGCAGACCCCCCCTGCCGCCCGCTGCTCCGCCCAGCAGTGTACCTCGGTCCCCCTGCCTGCTCTGCTCCCTGCTCTGGCTCTGGTGAATTCTCTCGCCCTCCCGTGCTTCTGACTGTACCCAGTGCATGTATAAACCAAATAAATAAATAAATAAAACATGCCTCTATTAAAAAAAAAAATTCAAAAAAGAAAAATTCAAAACCAGTACATACCACTTGTGTGTGTATAAATACATATGTTTACTACCAGTAATGTACTAAGTTTCTATTTTTTTATTTCATTATCACAAAAAATCACATTTTAGTATCATGAAATCACAGATTTTTATGTATTTAATTTGGTTCAACTTATTGCAATCATTCTAGTTTTTGGTTCTCAAATTATCCCATCTTTGGTTAGTAGGACTCCCTTTCAGGTTGGCTCCTGTATCATTTTGACACAATAGTAGTCTTCGATAACTCCCTTGTTTACTGGCACAAGATATTTCAGGGTCATGTTGACTTTTTTTAAAATTATAAATATAATTAAAGATTTATTTATTTTATACAAGAATTGGGGTACAGGCCAGATGTGCAGAAGGGTGAGAGGATTCACCAGAGACAGAGCAGGAAACAGAACAGGCAGACTGACAAAATACACTGCTGAGGGGAGCAGTGGGCGAGACAGGAGAGGTCTGCTGCGCCCTGTGGGATTCTCACTGGCCGACCAGGATGGAACATGTGCTGCAGAGGCTGCGGACAGCTTCACAGTACGGTGCTCAACTGCCTGCACCACTAGGTAGGCCCTAATTTTATATATTTTTGTAAGGGCAGGAAGGACACAGTGAAGGTTTTCTATGATCCAGCAGACCAGGTAAAGGAGGAGTCCTGGAGCCCTCGGTGGGTTTTCAGGCTTTTTATTGGGATTTACCCGGTACACGGCAGGCAGGCGTGCTGGGGGGCCGGGAGGCTGGCAGGCCTCCCAGCCCCCAGCAAGTCTTCACTCTATCTGGGCTCTCCGGCCTTCTCTCAGCTTCTGCTTCTCTTCGGCTTCTCCCGCTTCTTTCTCGGCTTCTACTGGCATCCCTGTGACGCTGCCCTTAAAAAGCACAGTCTTAGCCCAGGTGAATCCCATCTACCTATGCCCACACCCCATTCCAGGTGCCCGCCATCAGGCATGCATTCAGGACCACAAGAATCCATCATCTATCCTGATGGCGGGAGGGCAGAAAAGGCTGACATTTTTCCTTACCCTACAATTTTTAACATCATTTTTCATTTTTGCACAATGTATGCATTTTCATCTTGGTTATAGTCCCCATACAATGCCCCCTCCCTTATTTTGACCCTAATCCTTCCTTTCCCCCTCCCCCATTGTGTCTCTGGTTTATAGTTGCTTGTTGATTTTGATTTTTACTTTATTGTAATAGCCAGAAAGAAAAAGAAAAATACCGGATGGCCTCACTCATAGCAGGAATTTAGAAGACCTTAATAAGGGACCAGGAAAAAGATTAATTATAATAAAGTAAAAATCATGTTGACTTTTGTTACAGGTCTGGAATAAGCCATTTCTCAAGGATGGGAAATGGCTATTTTTTTTTTTTTGATGGGAAATGGTATTCAGAGACCATAGTTTGGGCACCAGAGGGAGCTAATTGCTACTAGGTTAGAACATCATTTTTAAAAGATTCTGAGTTGTTAATGCACAAATTGCATAATTTCTCTGTTTTCCTTGGAAGGTAATGTTAAAGACTAGAGTGCGGAGATGTCCCAATTAAGCAATCTATTTTGCAAAGAAGTAAATGGAATTTATTAATTGTAAACTAACTATTTTTTTTTTTCATGTCTACTAAGTAGTTTGGACTAGAAATAAGGAGTAGTGAAGTGTAAGGTAAATGGAAGTGATCAGGTTTTTTCTGCCTTCCCACCATTTGTGGTCTTACACACACGGAGTGTGATATGAGTGTGTGTAGGTGGGCATACCTGAGCAGAGACTGAGCATATAAGGGCAGCAGCAGAGGACTGTGTGGCAGAGTGCAGTAGAGAACACTCAGAAAGAGTGAAGATTCACTGAGGGCCGCAGGACTCTTCTTTACCCATCTGCCCAGATCCTGGCCTCTGCCTTGCTGCACTTCAAAAGAAAGACAGTTTGATAAAAGAGCCTGCTTTTAGGTTTGAACTTGCTGCAGAATTACCAGATACTGAGACAAAAACAGTTCCTCATATTAGTTGCAGAAATATGTAACTCTGAAATACAGAGGAGATTAAAAACAATTCAGTGGTTCCTTTAGGAAGAGGGTATTGGAAAGAAAGGAGTATCAGCAAATGGTATCAGGTGCCTATTGTTTCTTTTTGGTGCCCAGTCCAGAAGTGCTCAGTTATTCTGTGGAGTCATTGTATGTACTACTTTGGTAAGCAAAACAACAGAGAATCAAAGGATAAGTAGTTTATTTGCACACCAAAACCAGAACTTTATTCAAAGTTCACAGTCCACCATTGTCCGTACTTCCCGCATAACGTAAAATGACTTGAGAATCTTAATTGAGGACTAGGCTACATCTGAAATGTGTTGGCTTTGACCTTTACCTTGTAGCTTTATTTTGGTTAAGAGAAGAGAGGCAAATGTTGGCTGGACATCTTGTGATCTGGATTGTGTTTCCTCTAGGGGTCATTTTCATGGTTTCTAGGAGCTGGGTTTAGTCAGAAAATCACACCTCAAACAGGATGTTTTTCCAACTGGGCCTTTTTTTTTTTTTTAAACGAAGTGCTATTCAAAGACAACTGCCTATTTCAAAGGCAGTAGTTCTCTACACTGGTCCCCATTAGACTCACCTGAGGAGTTCTTAAAACAATACCCTAATTCCTAGAGATGTTGATTAAATTGGTTTGAGGTTGGACACAGGTTTCTTATGTTCTAAAAAGTGATTCTAATATGCAGCTAGGAATAGTGAAAAGGTTTTTGGATTTAAAAAAGTGGCTTTTTATAATAGGGCAAAGCACATTGAAGATAGCATATCCAAGGTGATTATACTTTTGATCCCTCAGCAAGGTATTTTAAGTGCCTTCCAAATACATGTATATTTTTGTGTAAATTATATAACACAAACTACAAAATGAAAACATAAAAATGACTTAAATGATGTTTCTAAAGGTTTTTATGTTTAGTGACATTAGAAACCCTTTTAATCCTTTATTGGGAGCAATAAGACAAAATGGGCTACGTTCTTATTTCTTTAAAACTCTTGCTTTAGGGCCTCTCTGATGGCACAAGGGGTTAAGCACCGTGCTATAAAGCAATCTACAGCCTCTGCAGCACAAGTTTGATCCCCGGCCAGCCAGGGAGCAACCCACAGGGCACAGCAGACCTCTCTTGACTTGTCCACTGCTCCCCTCAGCATGTCGATCTGCCTGTTATGTTCCCCATTCTGTCTCTGGTGAGTCCTCTCACCCCTCGCATCTCTGGCCTGTACCCCAGCTCTTGTATGCATAAATAAATAAAATCTTTTGAAAAAAAATTTAAAATAAAACTCTTGCTTTAATATCTTGTGAAATAGTAATTTGAAGATCTAGTTCTGTTTAATTTATTCTGT